GATACACTCTGGTCTTGGTCTTGTCTTGGTCTCGGGTTGGGTGGTCTTGAACACAACACTGGGACCTGCTGATGAGGCTGGTTTGTTAGATTAAAACTACATTTGAAAACCACAACATTTAAGGAAGTTTTAAACACACTTTTCATTAAGCCCACATGTCTGTTTTAAAAATAAATTTTGATTATCGTGTTACTCATGAAAGTTAGACATAGCTCAGAAATATTTGCCGTATTTTTCGGGCTACAAGTCGCTACTTTCCCCACGCTTAGAATCATGCGGTCCATAGCCGGGTGCGGCTTTTCTGTTTATTTTTTCTTCAACCACTAGGGGGCTCTATAGCAGGAAGTGAATCATTGAAAGTCAAAATTGGAACGCAAAGAAGAAAGTGCTTATTTTCATTTAGAACAAGCACATGCTGGCAGCAGGCACGACGGAGAAATTTCTTCAAACTCATCCCCCCTCATCATGGAAACAACACAAAGAAGTTCATATGATGCAGCTTTTAGGTTTAGCTGCACGTACGTTTGGTGTGAACGAATCCACGGTTTGGCGTTGGAAACACAGGGCTTCGTCTTTAATAGCAGATTTATTATGAATTCAGTCCTTTGCTGCGCTCTTGTGAGAAACCGAGAGCGGCGAAGATACCAGCAGCTTATAGCCCGGTGTGGCTTATATATGTACGTTTCTAGTTAAAAAAAAAAAAATCTTTGTGGGCGCGGCTTATAGTGAGGTCCGGAAAATACAGTGGTTACATTTTGTTCTGAAATCATGCAGTAATGCAGAAGACGGGGACAGAGAAGGTGAATCAGAGAAAGATAATTTATTAGCTAATTAGAATAAAAATCTTTTGTGCAAGGAATCGTTCTGAAATTCAGATATCAGTTGTTTTGGTCCGTTACTTCAATCTAAATCCTGCATGCAGTGAAAACTTTCTTTTTTTTCTTCTGACCATTAGGTAAAAATATTTACCAATTGTTAAACTTTCTCATCTGATAATATTCTGTGAAAATGGAAAATGTTTTCCGTTCCCACATTTGAACGTTATTGAATTTGATACTCGGGTCAGCTTCTTGTTTTGTTGCCAATGTAAACAGAATAACTCTGGGTGTCTGATGGCTGTTGTGAGAATCAATAGGACATATGCAGAGAAAAATCTGATAACATTCTTCGAGGGTGAACGGGGAACATGTGGTCTGTTCAGATAAATTAGCCAAATGCCTCCTTGCTTTTGCTTGTGGTTAATTGACACAAATTAGTTGTGGATGGTTGTTGCCTTTCATTGGGGTCGGGTCAAAGGTGAGAGGTTGTTAATGAGTCTGTTCATTAAGTATCGGGGACTGCTCGGCTGTGCTGAACATGTTTCAGACTTGATGCTGTAAACATATTTAACAGGCTACTAGCACGTCGCCTCTCCGCTTCTTTTTTGTTGCTTGTGTGAGCTAAAATGTGGGTATAAAATAATGTTTTTATAAAATAATGTTTTGCAGAAGCGATTAAACGGTTTACAAAACTTTACAGTCTCTGTAGGGTAATATATGGTTAAACGCTTTCGCTTTAATTCGGCAGTTTCAGTTTTAAATGGTAATTCTTTGTTTATTGGTTGTGTTTTTTGTGCCATATAGCTTTTTTTTTTTTTTTTTTGTTCTGCATCTTGCACATGTTTCTGCTCATGTGTTTGTAATCTGAAAACTTGAAATGGTAGGACCCTCCCAACGACAGCTGACCTGTTTCCAATTGACCATGGCTCTGATGTCATCCATTTATTTGAGGGAAATTGAAAGAACTGAAAGAGGACAATTTCTTTTTTCAAATTTATTACAGAAATCTTGGAATAGCTTAAAGAGATATGTTGTTAGTTTAACATGGCAGCTTAGGGATGGACATTTATCCTATCACAGTTTCATTTTCATACCAGTCGACATCAGCATATGTCTGGATGTACAACAAATGACTATTTTTGGCGATTTTTTTTATTTTTTATTTTTTATGTTCCCTTGCACTATTAAGTGATCATTGTGTACAGATCCTCTGTGTAAACCATTTATGACTCTGTTGTAAAGTCAAGTTAATCTCAATGGTCTCCCTGTTGAACTTTGGTCTGGTCATTATGTTTTTTGTAAAGAAGAAAGTTTTCCTGTTTGCACACCTCCAATAAAACCTTTAGAGCCTCTTTCTGGGCTTATTGGCGTGTGTTTTTGCTGAATACCAGCCCCCTTTAGGTCCTGTGAAGAAATGTTTAATCTCTTTGGAAACTTATTTTAGTGTGTTGCTGTCTGCTGCTTTCAAGGTGAAATCGCTTGGACGACCAGACCTTGGCATTTTGTTAGTATTTTGTTTTTATGTCTTCCACTTGTAAACAGTTAAGTGTGGAAAATTTGGGGGATTTCTAATCCATTCCTCACAAAAACTACATTGCTTTATTGTCTCAGTTTTTACTACATAGATTTTTCAGTGTTATGACGCTGATAACAGCATAGACTATGTGAGAAATGCATGCAGGCTGTTTCATTTTTAAATGGTTATCTACATGAGGTTGTTCAACTTTTATGGTTTTAACTGTCCTGGTTTGGTAAAATAGCACTGACCTCGGTGTGTGAGGACTACCACTCTGCTCACTGATCTCTATCGATGAGAAAGTCACGCACCTTAGCTTCACTTCTGTAGGAATAACATCAAAGGCTCGTCCATGTCACAGTTAACCACATTTGGGGAGCTGCTGGTGACACAGTTTATGCTCCTCTTCTTCAGGTTGCCTTCCTCGCCGTGGCTGCATGCGACCGACACCTGCTTCAGCTACCTGCTGCATCCTGATGTTTATTTCTCACTTCTGTCTCCCTGTCGACGTGTAGTCCTCCGGCACGACTGTGATGGTGGACATAGCGGTGATGGGAGAGGCCCACGGACTGATCACGGACCTGCTGGCCGACCCCTCTCTGCCGTCCCACACCTGCACGTCGCTGCGGGCCGTCAGCAGCCTCCTAACCACCCAGCTCACCTTCCAGCCGCTCCACCGGCCACGCCCCGTCCCCCTGCTCAACCCTTGCGATGCCTACACCTGCTCTGACTCAGAAGAGGGACCCGAGAAAGGGGAGAAGACGTCGATACACAAGGTGGGAGAATCTGTGAAAATTAATCATCCTCAGGTTAGACTTTACTGAGAAGAACAGCGGTTCCCCCCTCCCCTTCCACCCTCCGAAGCCGCTGAAATAATTTATCAAACCGTTGAAAGGTCAAGACTGTTAATCAAGAGCACTCAAAGAGGTTTCATTTGGAAACACTCGAACTAATCCGTAGATGGCGATGCGGTCCACCTCATTTAGGTCAAACATCCCGTCCTGCTCTCCTCACACGTGTTAATCTCTTAGTCCCAACTCTCAACTGGAAAGTGGTTTTTCCCTCCGACATCAAATGAAAGAACGCATTTCTTAAACAGTTAGGCGGAGAAAAAAAAAAGTAGAGCGCGTCTATTGCTCGGAGCAGCGTTCTCCCTTTCATAGCCGCAGCTGTGTCAACATGACAGATGTGCCGAGCCAGACAGTGTGTCTGAATGAGCGTATGTGAGAGGGAGTTGTGTAAGGGAGGCAACGCGCAGCTGGATGCATTTCTCAGAAGCTTCTGAAGAGGGATGGGTATGTGTCAACAGAACTTGACTCCCACTGCTATTATGCATCTGGCTCCTTATCTGGCGAAAGATACCCCCGGTCTTCGAGGCCGGCCTGCGGGCTTCGCGTCGAGCACGTCCGGTTTTGGCAGATGTCGTTTTGCGTCCTCTGGATCGTGTGTAAAAGCGTCAGAGTTGAACCGCACCTGGAATGACATGAAAACCTTGCAGTCATTTCGACATTCCCTCTCATAAAATGTCCAGCATTAACAGCTAAGGGAAACAAATAAAATAAAATGACGTGAAGAGGGAACAGAATTTTGAAAAAAATGCTGTTTTTGTTTTAACTGGTTTGCCGTCCATTTGCGGCACAAGCTAATAATGGCTTTTACACTCACTTACTTCCAAATTAATTTTCTCTTTTTCTCTGCTACACAATAATTAAAGAGTAAAAGCATGTGGAGTATTTAAAAAGTAAATACTAACCTGAAAGACACTGTACATAAGAATATATGTAAGAGATTTTAAAATGTGCTACTTTTTACTTGAACAGTTGCAGAGATGAGTCTGTTTATAGACCAAACATCAGATTGCACTGACTTGTTTTGCTGCACTTTTGGCTGATGGCCATTTTTGTGTGCATCAGTGCTCGGCATGTGTGTGTTTTTGGATTATATCTTGGAGCATTCAACATAAGCTACAGAGTCATCAGGAACATCAGCCCATCATGCCTTTTAAAAAATGTTGATTATGTATATTTAGGCTGGTCTCTCGTTCAAGTAAGCAGATAAAAACAAAGTTTCTGCAACTTTTTATATTGGAAATAAAACGTTGCATGCATTTCATAGGGACAAAGTAAAGCAGATTGTAAAGAGGAGGAAGATGTGTAGTTTTTGTTCTGTAAATGGGTTCTTCAGAGAACCTATTTACAGTTTTTTGGAGATAAATCAAGACTCTGCCAGCGTCGCACACATGTACACAGAAATTCATAGCCGTTCTTCTAGCTGAAGTTCAGATTGCAAAAGATCATGTGAGATCAGCAGTTTTCACGTCTCGTCTCTGACTGGGCTGTTCTAAAAGCATAAATCCTGCCACCGCCATGTTTCACCGTGGAGATGTTGTGTTTAGGGAGATGTGGAGCGTTTCGACATTTTACGTGAAGGCCAAAAAGTCAAATCCTGGTCCCACCCGACCTGAGCATCATATCGTCCATGTATGGTCTGTTGCCCATGTGACAAGCCGTAAACAGGACTTGGTATTGCTTTCTTTCAGTCACAGGTTTCTTCTCGGTGCCCTTCACCAATCTGACCTTTAGCTTTGAGCACTAAAAGTTTCCCTGTCAGCAGAGAAAACCCACTGAAACTAAAGCTCCTCCAGAGCTACGGCGGGTTTCCTCGGTGCTGCTCTGGTCCAAGCTCTCCTCGTTGGACAGCCGTATCTTGGGACGTTCGCGTTAGTGATGTGCTATTTTTTAATTATTTTCAAATGATGCATCATTTTAGCAATGTTCTGTGAGATGCTCAGTGTTGGGACGATGTTTTTATAGTGGAAAGCCGCTTTAAACCTCCCGTCGACTTCATCCCTGACCTGTCTGGCGTGTTCCTTAGGGGTATTAAAGTAATGGGCTCAAATAAAATCTAGGCCACACTTTTCCATTTTGAGTTTGCTCAAACCAAATTAATGCCATGCACTATTTTTCTACCACTTTACAACTATAGACATAAAATCCTAATGAAAATACATTAAAGTTTGTGGCGACAAAGTGCGTAAAAGCTCCAGGGGTACGACCACGTTTTGTGAAGGCGGTCTGGAACGACTGGAGCGGCTCGGCTCTCTGGTCGAATGTGAATGGACCCATTCAGAATCCGGCGGTGATCTTTACTAGGTCACCCTGCAGAGGACGAAGCATAGAGCCAGCCATGTTCAGTGCTGTTGCGCCAAACTGCTGCAGCGCAGCACCAAAACAGATGGAGGCATCACAAGGGCACACACACACACACACACACACACACACACACACGTACACACCTCTGGGAATCTGAGGGAAGAGTGAGGAGCACACTAGCACAATCCATATGACGAAATTAATCTATGTGTAATGCAATATTGGCGATTTGGCTAATAATGAACCTCCAGGAGCTTTCCTGCCCCAGCTGTCTGTAAATACCCCCCCCCTGCTCCTCTCTGACCACAGTTTCTACGCTCTTTGAATGTCGTGGATATTTAGCTTTGGAATCATATTTCAGCATCATTCTAATGGTGATTTTTAATTTTTTTTAGCTTATCTACAGCTTCATTTATTTCATCTATGCGTCATGATCTAGCCCCATTTAGTTGATGTATTAGACATTAACTTCTCATACTTTTCCTAGGAGCTATTCCAGTCATGTTCATCCTGCTCTTTTAATCTCTGCATGGTCCAACTTTCATTCATAGAGTTCAGTAGCGGCCTTTAGATTCTATTTTAATTGTTGATTGAGTCTGTAAAAGTTACCCTGTGTGTGCGTGTGTGTGTGGGTGTGTGTGCGTGTGTGTGTGCAGCGTCTCAGGCGGAGTCTCCACCCTGGCCTTCTGAGGAGGATTTCTTCCACGTGGACGACCACCACCTCAGCCACAGGACTGCCCACCATCGAGCCTGGGCCGGTTCGAAGGGACCGCAGCTCCAGCATCAAACCGTACCATGAAACACTCACATGCAGGTACCCAAAACAAAACCGATTACCTGATACTGTTTTGAGGATTCTAATGGCCCCGTCGTAGTGTTATGAGTCCGATGTTTTAAACATATGCTGGCTTGAGTAATAATGAGTAAATAATGTTGTTGCATCGACTGCAAGCGCCACAGATACAGAATCTAAGCAAGCGACTGACTGAGCTTTGGTGATGCATTCTGGTTTTATTGGGGATTCTTCGTTTTTTGGTTTCATCAGAGTTATGTTTTATTTTTTAGTCTATTTCTAAATCAAACAAAAGTTGAATCAAATTTCAAACGAGTGATGAAGCAATCCGAACCAACCTGGTCCTAGAGAAAGTATTTGCAAAGAAGTCCTGACGCATGAATGGCCCTTTGCAAGGTCATAGCACAGTACCTCAATCAGACTGACGTCCGGACTTGGACTAGGACACTCCAAAACCTTAATTTGAGCCATTCAGAGGTGGACTTGCAGGTTTGCTTGTGATCATTATGTTACTGGATAATAGAGCTTAATATTACAAACTAATGACTGGAGATTTTCCCCTCGGTATTTTCTGATATAAAGCAGAATTCAGGGCTCAATCAATTAGTGCAAATTTTCCGGGTCCTAACGTAGTGAACAGCCCCAGAACATCACATTACCACCGCCATGTTTGACTGTCAGCATGATGTTCATTTTTTTTTTTAAATGATGTGCCTGTTTTACACCAGTCTGGAGAATGTCTTGCTCAAAGGTCAAAGGTCAATATGGTAAATGTTCTTGTGTTGCTTTTGTTCAGTGGAGCTTTTCTTCTTTGACCTCTCCGTAAATGTCATGTTTACTCAATCATCATGTTGATTGACCTTAACGCAGAACGGCAAGTGAGGCCTGTAGTGCTTTAGATTTTGTTTTGGGTTTTTCTTTGACCTTATAGGTGATTTGCTGATAGACTGGCAAATCCCACAAAGGTTCACCGCTGTTCCACGTTGTCACTGTCAGTGACTTTCTGAACTGTTTTTGGATTATCCTCACATTTGGATTGGAGCCGGATTTTTATATATATATATATATATATATGTGTGTGTGTGTGTGTGTGTTTTTTTTTAACCTTTTTAAGTAATTTCTATTGTACAGGTCAGGTAATAATCAGACCTGGGTGTGACTCGTGAAACTGAGCTAAGAAAGTTAATCGGATAATTCATGGTTTTATTCATTCATGAATTACTTTTTCACTGGATCAGTTTTAAGTTGGACTGCAAAACGTCCCACTGGTATTCCAGAAGAGTCGTGTTACTGCTAGGCCTGATCTTCCAACTCCATTTCCTTTCAGCCCTTCTTTTTCAATGTCAACTTGTTTACCAATCCCAGATGCTGCTTTGGATGGAAAAAGTGGATATTCAATCTGTAATGCATTACGTTTTTTTTTGTTTTGTTTTTACAACAAAAGAACAAGTCAAAGAAATCAATAAACGTACTAATACACAAAAATGTTACAGTAGGTCCTGCTGTGTCTGTCTGACAATAGCTACCGCGGTTTTGATTTATGTTTATAAGGTTATTAGATTTATCCAACAGTGTGGCCACATTTATATCAAACTAAACCAGTGTGAGTGAACACTGATGGCACAGCAGTCTGGAAGAAGATGTGTGCGCAGCGAAAGACGGAATAGAAATATGCCCCACAGGCAAACGCATTAACCTGAATAACTAAGATGCACATCAACTGTGAGCGCATTAATGCTGAAGACAGCATGGGACCAGGGTTACGCAGAAGTATGAAGGTTCAGGATGGGAGTGGTATAATGGACCAGGCCAGTGTTTGCCTGGGAGTTTTAGTCATTTTGGTGTAATTTTAGATAGTTGTACTGTACATCAGAGGACAACCTGGGATCATGTGAGGCCTCATAAACATTTTGGTCCACATGAGACAAGTCTGGACTAGTGATGTGCAGTGACTTTCTATCTATGTTTTGCTTGAAATTACATTGATTCTTTGTTAAATAGATGTAGGGTTACATTTAATCTAGAAGTAGTGGATATTAGGGAACAATTAAAGCACAGTTTGCTATAAAAAAAACCACATTGCAAGCTTTATAGATACTTTACAACTTTGTGTTTGAACATGAGATACTGCAACGTCAGGTGGCACAAAATGGAGTTTCATAATGAAAGATAGTGAAAGATGTTAACACTGCATGCAGAATATAGTTTGTTATTGTACAGTGAAGATGAAAAGCCGACAACACTTTATTTGACAGGGTGTGCACAAGACTGACATGACATGAATAAGTTTTCATAAATGTTCACAACTGTTGTCATGTAAATAATGGTAAATAATGACACTTTTAACGCATAGTTGGCAATTTTAATGGACTTTTAATACAAGTTTTAACGAGTCTTTTCATTAAAAGTGTCATTATTGACTGAGCAATGCACAGTTGACACTTTTAATGTAATTTTGCATTAAAAGTGTCATTATTTACCAAATGACTGCATGACAACTGTCATAAACATTCAGTTTAAGATTCCTTCATGTTCATGAGAGGTTTTATGTCAGTCTTATGCACACCCCTTCAAATAAAGTGTTACCGAAAATCCTTGATAAAGGACAAAATGTCTTGATTTATATATATATATATATATATATATATATATATATATATATATATATATATATATATATATATATATATATAAACCTTAAAGAGAAATTATTGTCTTTCATCACCAGCACCTTGTGTAGTTTCTCCCCTGTAAAGTTTTGGTCCCCGAAAATCTTCCAAGATCTGCACCAGTCTGCAAATACAGTCGCCTCTGCTGTAAAACACCGTTTTTGTGTTGATTTCTGTTGTGTCAAACAAGTAGGACAGTTTTATTTTTGCGTCATCCTTCTGAGAGAGACTGATTTTCAAAACGCTACATGGGAACTTTTGTTGAATAGATCATCTGGATCTGCAACTCAATTATTAATCTGCAGAAGGATTCCAGTAAGACACGTCTGATGTCGGCCTCAAAGAGACGGAGAAAAGCCTGCTGGGATCCAAACAACACAACTCCAGCTGATGATAACCTATATATTGCAATGTCTGCAAGAGTCTACGTGCGTGTGTGAAGTCACACGAGTTCTCACTTTCTGGATTTAGAAGTTACTGTTTAACATTCCCCCCACTGCCCCAATAAAAAACCATTCATTATTTAGTGGGAATCTTGTGAGGAGATATGAATCGGCTCGCCTGAGCTCTTACTGCTTCAATCACCAAACTTTTAGATATAATCTAATTTAGCTTTGGCAGAAACTGCCTGAAACTTAGCTATTGTTAAATCCTGGAACTGCACATGTAAAATGAGGCATGACTCTAATACTGCATGGCCTAGTTTAGAAACAAATGTTGGGTGGATAATTGTTAAAAAAGAAAGGACTACTTCAACCAGGCTTTCTTTTTTTTCTTTAGATTTGGAAATTACAAGGAAATACCATCCTAGGGGCATGCTGATCTGGCAGTATAAGGAAAGGAAAAGTAAAATAGGGCAGCATTTTACTGTAATAAATGCAGAGGATACATTAGGTATGGCAAAACATAATAAATATCTTAAAATAATTCATCCATGCTGCACAGCGAAGCCGACCAGTCTGTAGCTGTGTGCTCTGAAGTCGTCTTTCTTTGGAAATAGTGCTTTCATCAAGTTAGTAAATGATTACAGACCTTGTCCTAACAATGAATTGTTCAAATAAAATGCATGGCTGTTTTTTTTTTTTTTCTGGAATTAGCTGTAAACCATGTTGTTTTACAAAATAGACAGAATGACCTCCAAGACAAAGCTCTGGTAACTCGGGCTAGACTAAACTTTTAGTTGTCAGTTTTATCCACCAATCATGTGGTTTTCATTATGTGAACTCAAATTAAGCCAATTTAAAGGCCTGTGATCGTATTTAAGGATCTGCTAGAAAAGTTCTACTTGATTTTGCTTTTAATGCCACACTGCTGCAGGTTCAGGAAAAACAACAAAACAAACAAACAAACAAAAAAGAAACGTACGTGTGGTGACACACAGGTGGGATGAGATGGTGTTTGGCAACTTGGTTTTCTGTTTGTGTTTCATTTGGGGAAAAAAAAGGCTTTTGCTTTTAAAAAAATGTGATTGAATGAAATGACTGAAAATGTTCTGCTACTCAAGAAACTATCCTGCTTTGTCTCAACTTTTCTAAGACATTATATCACATTGGAATATGCAATTTACAGATAGTTTCTCTCTCTTTCTCTCCATTCAGGAACAATTTATCTAAGCTGCAGCTTTCTCACTTTTGTGGTGCCTGTTTTTGTGTTTCAGAGTTTTCTGTATCATATATTTGCAGTTGCAATTGTTATTCAGCCCCTCAGTGAGTAATTTGCATCCGACATTTGGAAATGGTAGAATGGAAATATAACTTGTGCGCCAAGCCCCCAGAACCTTAAAAATCCATCTTAAAGAGGCAATTACTGATTAATCATCAGATTGTTGCCTGGAGTTTGGAAATGAGATGTCAAGAAAAAAAAAATAAATCAGGCATAGATTGTACATGTGATTTTTTTTTTTTTTTTTTTTTTTTTTTAGGGTTATGATTTAATACATTTTCCCAGCAACTATAAAGCCGGAGTTGGTCATAATTCTTTGCATTTACTGCTGGTAAAAGAATTGCTTAAACAAAGCAAGATTACAGCCCAGATTAAGAGTTGACAGAGTCTCCATTGCTCCAATAAGCGAGTCCTCAGGATGGGTCCACTGGGTTTCATCTGACGTCATTTTGTTTACTGGGTTGTTTTCTACACTCCCTCCTTTTTCTCAAGAGTCTTCAGCCCTAAAAAAAAAAAAGAAAAAAATAACTGTGTGTCTGTCGGTGACTTGTTTGGCTCTGTTTGCGCACCGACAGCGTGATACTCAAGCAACATCTGTAAATGCAGGCACACCGAGCCGACTCTGTACACAAAGCTGGGTCCCCTGGACTCAAACAGTCACTCAGCCCAGCAGAGGGCCTCAGCTATACCCACTTATGGTGGTGAGAGTGTAAACAAACACCTGGGCTTTTCCCCCAGTCACCACAACCCCGCAATTAAACACACACGCGCACACACACACACACACACACACACGTGCCTGGATGAACTGTCGCAGCTGCTACTTCTGGCGCAGGTTATGGAGCATTTCAAGTGTACCGAGTGACTCTTGGTTTGGTTTACTGAAGTCTCTTGTCAGCTGCTCTTTAGCTGATTTTCAGCCGTCTGGATGTTCGAAAATGAAAAAGAAAAAAAGATGGTTCAGTATTAAAATAAACTGCTGTTAAACATGTCCAGTGCCTTCTGAAAACAGCTTGTTCCTGACGACTGATTAATCGACAACATGAAAAAAATAAAAATTCTCGAGTTAAGCTTTTACACGACAATGGAAAGAGTCGGTATAATTTATTTTCTTACTTATGTACGGCCTTTTTTGTCTTTTCTTTTTTCAATTCGTCTGGCCAAGAAATTTGTTCTATATAAATCTCTTTAGAGATCAAATGGAGCAAAGGAATAATCTGTCCTCATGTGTCCTCAGAGAGAAAACTGGAAAACATGGACGAGGAGAACACATGAAGGGGAGGTTTGGAGGAAAAAAAAAAAAAATGAACACATGGTTTCAATTCCCCCCGTTCTCTACTCCTCATCAAATCTGCGCGATCTTAATTAGGACATTAAGCGTCTCCTTTCCTGCACACTTTTTTCCATCCTGTCAGCCTTTAGTGACGTGCAGGAACAACACCGACTTCAAAAGCTGCAACATCGGCTTGTTATCGGACAGTGCTTGTTAAAAAGGGAGCGAGCGATACCTTCCATTTGCCTCGGTCTGAGCCACGGCGCTGTTATCTCCTTCACGTCATCTAGCTCAAGAGTAGGTAGATTACTGGAAGCAGAAATAATGGCTGCTGTGTTTATCGTGGCTTGGACAATGTCCGTTTGGGCTCTGAACCAAAGATAATCTGTCAACCTGCTGCGAGGAAGGCAGCCTGAAATCTGGGAGTAAAATGCAGCAGAAGAGGGAGCAAACAGAGGCCAGCTGGAGTTTACAGTTGGAGTGTGCAGCCAAAAACTTTTACGTCTAAAAAAATCCCAATTAGAGCAAGAAGCAAATTAACACATAGTTTTCTTGAAAATAAAATGAATGGGTTGAAACCACGGCAAAAAATAAATGTTTTTTTTTTTTTTTGTTTTTTGTTTTTTTTTGCGGTCTGACTTGGACAAAGTTCATTGCAGATGAACCTAAAGTTTTTTTATTCTTTTGCTGTAGGTCAACTAGGACTGACATTATTATTTATATTTGCTAAAAGATAGAATAATGAGCGAGAGACTTGTGTTTTTATGCAGTTTATAATTATCTTTCACATTTACTAATATAAATAAGCCTTCAAGTTGGCAAAAAAGATGACGCAAAGCATCTAATTCACAACCGGAAGCACACCTGTATTTTAGAGAACAACACAAGCCCTTTTACTTCCTCTTATCAAATAAAGCAAAAAGAAATCAGTCATGATATCAGGAGAATATTTGACCACCAGAAATCTGGTTCGTTCTGGGGTGCCATTTCCAAATGGCTTAAAGTTCGACGTTCGTCTGTTCCGGGTCGTGACGTTCTTGGTGCTAGAGATCAACCTGTTGCGGTACAAAACATGCAAATCATCCTCTGTACAAAACCAAAAGCCCCTGTGAAAATTCTGCCGAAAGCTTGTAAGAAAGTAACATTTTACACTGAAACGAATCAACGTGTGTTGAAAGGACACAAAAAGCCGTTTCATTAAAAAAAAAAAAGAGAAATGCGATTCTAATTTAGAAATGCGAATGTAATTTTTGGAGCTGAGTCCTTTTTGTATGGTGAAACTAAAATGTAGGTGTTTGGCTATGATGACTATTGTTACATGTGGAGGAAACAGCAGCTCGAACGGCATCATCCAAGATGTTCTGTACAAAGGCAGCGACATCATGCTGCTGGAGAGACAATTCCTAAAAAAAAGTTGGCATCGTGTGGAAATACTGTAGCAACTTCTTAAGACGTCAACCACCAAGTTAAAGCTTAAACTCATCAAGCCAGTTACCTTATTCTGGCACTAAGCTGTTAGAAATTATTTTGGTGATCGTACTTGACGTATAAAAGGGAAAGTTTGTTTGATTTAAAGTGTAACGTGGGGGGGGGGGGAAGATGTGTGCAGATTTACAGGTGAATGTCGAGCGTCTGCGCTGTAAATCGGGAAGCAACACATTCCTTCATCCATTTACATTCTCCCCATAAACACATTCTTACGCAGCAGATAAATGTTATTTCTTTCGGCTTATGCATACTGGAATGCGTATTATGTTTTTACAGTGTTTGCAGACGTCCCACTGAGACAGTTAAATTACTGTAACTGCAGCTCCTACCCCTGCAACTGCTCCGGTTTTTCAGCGATAAAAGCAGAGAGACTTGACACTTGACTGACGGACTGTGCGAGTGAGAACAGCCCAGCCTCCTTATTTACATTTTGTGCTGGAGGCTCGGTGTCAGAACTCAAGGTTGTTCTGCTGCATTAGCAGAACGCCAAAAGGTGTCTGCCAGTTCTTCAGCTTTCATTAAAGCTAAACCTTTTAGGCCAAACGCTCTGCGGCCGACGCAGACTCTTGCTCCCCTGACAATAACGTTCTAACTGTTCACCCGCCAAACTATCTAACTATTTTATATTCCACACCTGTGATGTATTAGACGCAGCGGTCCGGCCTGACCGCGCAAACACGACAGTGCGCTCCTTGTTGGAGCCCCGGGTCCATTATAGTGGGTGGGTTTGGCCCGAAAGCGTTCCAGAAACACTTTATCAGAAGGAGATAGAAACACTGCAGGCCTTTGTGCTCCCCGTGACACAACACTCTGACGGCAGGCATTTCCTCAGCTCAGGAGGAAGGTTTTACAACATTTAGGGCGAGGTATTTTAATTGAAACCACCTACGGCCTGACGGTAGCCTCAGCAGAGACACATGGAAACCCGTCGAGGCTCCCTACGGTGTCAACATCCCTCTTTCAAAATGCGTGACGCTTGATTTATGTTTTAACTCGGCGCTTGTGACGGTTTTCATCTGTCTGCGAGTTCGTGGCTTCGCAGTAGGTTGCTCATGTGGCTGAAGTCGCTCTGCCGTAAATCACAAATAGAGCGGGCACGTCTGCTAATGAGTCGCTCATAACAAAGCCAGCACCGGCGAAGGCTTGAGATTTGTTTGGCTGTTTATTCTCGTCGTTGTTTGTGTTAATGCCCGCATTAATTACGCTTATTAATTGGTGTTTTCTTGGAGCATCTGTAAATGTTGAGTCGGACAGCGGTGCTGGAATCCCAATTAGTTTACTTGACAGCGGTTGGTTATCAAAGCCTGACTACTGAGTGGCGTCGATTTTGCTCTTTTGGCTCAGCCACAGACAGCCAGATGTAACGTGCTCTACTACCACTGATCCATTTTGTTTTGTTGTTAATTTGATATTTAAACATTTACATCAAAACCTCTTATTATGGTATTCATTACATCAAGCTTTATTTTACTCAGTGTTGTAAAAGTTTTCCTCTATGCTCTCAGTCACAGTGCATTGCGAAAGTATTCATAGTTTACTTTACAACAGCCATCCTCTTAAACTACCAATTTCAATTTATTTTGTTGGGATTTTATGCAATAAAACAGCATAAAATGATTGTAAAGTAGAAAGAAAATGAAATGGTTTTCAAGAAATGTTACCATTAAGATTTAGCATGTACTTAGTCCTCTTTGGGTTGATAATGCAAAATAAGATCCAGTTTGGTAAATGTAACTGTTGTGTGCATGTTATGAGAAATTTTGGGGAACTAGCAAACTAAAAACATGAACACTAAGTAGCACACCAAGAAGATCAGGGATAAATCTGTGGAGAACAATATGCTTCCTGTACTTCTGCAGAGACAAGGAGAGAAAACAATTTCTGCTGCAAAAAAAAAAAAAAAAAACTTTAGATTTTGCCTGGTGTTCACCATTCAGCATTCAGCAACCTCAAAAAATACAGCCTGAGCTGAAATAGAAATGTTTGTGTACAAGGGAATAATCATGTGAAAACAGCCATGTCAAATTATACGCCTAAGTCCAATTCAAACACTATTGCAAAACTTAATTGTTCTAGGAGAGCTTGAACTAATGCGGTAACAAGAACAGCCAAAACCTGCAGTCTTCAGATGTGCAAAGCTGCTTGGGCCGGACCCAAAAGATCAGACCCAAATGTTACCAAAGAAGTAGTGACTCAGTGAGGCTAAATTCAAATACATGACACATTTCCAGACTTTTTATTGTAAAAAAAGAAAAAAAACTTTGGAAAACAACCATAATTTTCTTTCCACTTTGGCCATATTCACTAAAGAAGTTCACAGATAGTAGCTAAACTTCTGTTGTACTATTAAAGATTTGTTTGTTTGTGTGTAAATTGTTTTCTGCAGCTGTGGGAGGCCGTACATCAGACTGACCCATGGAGAGGGCTCTATAGATAAGGGAGACAGGACACCTCGAACAGGTAGGGGCAAAACGGAGCGGTGCATCTTTTCTGTGTCAGATAAAGGACATGCAGGCATTTTTACAATTGTGGAAAACCCAAGCAAATTCCTTTTGTTGCTTTTGCTGTATGAGAAAATGCACCTTCATTTCTGACATCTGCAAAGATTCATGTTTCTGTATGAATTATTTTCTTTAACTTTTAATTTTTGATAACGAGAGAGGCATTTCAAGCCATTTGAATTCTTCAAATCTAAGAGATTTTAAATAAAGGGACTTCCTGCTTTATTGGTTTAAAGTAAAACAAATAAATAAACTGCACAAGATGCTCAATATAAACACTACCAGGAATAGTAGTCAATAGAAAATGACTTGGATCTGTCTGAGTGCATATTAAGAGTAAATCCCCATTAAAATGTATTAGAGAAATACTAATGTGTTTTAATCTTTCAATTAAATTAATTGAACACTTTACTAAACAATAGTCTAGTCCAGTGTGGATATGAATGCAGTTCATTTAGCTTTATTTACTTTCATGGCTCTAGTCCACAACAAATGTCATCTCAAAGCACAAGACAAGCAGATCCAATAGGATCAAGCTCAGTTTAAATCAGACTTATTCAAATAAAGTTGAATTATCCAGTTCAGATTAGATGCAGACCAATTCAGGCCAGCTCGGCTGATTACGTAAAGCCAGCTGACAAACGGAGATCTCTGTGAGGAAGGTGAGCCGAGTCACGGATTCTGCAGCAGTCCGACGTCTCTTTGTTTTTCTGTATTGACAGAGGACCCTGTAGTTGTGTCATCAGACTATGACAGCACCCACGAAGCCAACCACAGTGACAGCAGTGATGTAGCACAAACGGAGGAGGACACAGAAAAGGGGAAAAAACCCTCCCAGAACGTCATCCTCCATGCACTAATACCTCCTGAGGTGAGTCGAGGCTCACGCGTTCAAAAACATCTCTTTAATGTCAGAGTAGGACGCCGTACGATGCGGAAACGTAGTGACAAAAAAAAAAAAAAAGTCTGCACACCCCCTGTAAAAATGGCTGCTAAAAAAAGTGATGTTGATTTTAAGAGCTCCTTAAGTCCTCTTACAAACTTTTACAAACGTCTTCTTCCTTCTGAAGAACGGCATCGCCATCCGCCGCCATCTTTTACGATGGATGTGGTGAAGTTTTGGTGATGCGCTGTGGCCACATGTTCCCGTTTGGTTTCATTAGACCATGAAATTGTCTTCCGTTTGGCTTGGGGGTATTTCTGCCGGATCTGTAAGTTCTTTTGAGAGGAAAGGGGGTTTTCTATCTGTCAACACGACTCCTGGAAATTACAGCAGACTGATGTAACCAGTAAACAGGAGCAACCAGAAAATCCTGCAGTTTCTTCCATTCAGTCAGAGTCTTGAAGGTTTCCCCAACGTCAGATTATGTTTCGTCTACAAACGATAGAGAAAAGTCCAGCTGTATAAAAGTAATATATGTCCTCCAGTTATTGATAGACATGAAATGATGTGAATTGTTGCTTTGTACAGTGAGAGATTTTTGATTTTTTTTCTTTTTTAAAAGTAGTTTCCTTTTATTAGACGTTTGTTTTTATTTATACACTGAAGTTGGTAAAAAAAAAAAAAATCAGTAAATATTTCAATTTTCCAACATTTAACAACGCAACATAAATGTGCATACTTTTTCCACATCCAGTGTACATGCATATGGTTTGTGCCATTGAGAAATGTATTCTTTAAAACATCTTCATCATGTGTTTTTTGTACAGGACAAGCCCATTCTGGCACAAGAGCCATTAGTAATGGAAGACCTGGAGCCTTTAATGAGTCAATTAAATAATTGGAACTTTCCTATTTTCACTCTAATGGAGAAGACAAATGGAAAATGTGGGAGGATCCTTAGTCAGGTGAGAACATTAAAAAAAAAAAACACCACGAAGAAGTAAGATCTGAGACGACTTACTGCAATCCTCACTTCTTATTAAGGATATCAAACGAAAATCCAACACACTTAAAGACTTTATTCTCTTCTTCAAGAAGCAACAACTGTTAAATCACCACCACAGTTTTACTCCTCCAGTGTTTCTGACTCGGAATCAAAAAGAAGAACATTTAAGACAAATGAAAAACACGGCCTCATTAATAAATAAGAACATGTTTATAGGATATCAGATGAACACTAAATCCCCCAGATCCACAGTTGTTGTTCTCTCACCATGATGTACGAGGAGAGAACGTCTTTCTCCAAATGAACAACCGTCTGCCAGGTGCTTCAGACTTGGCTTGGGGTTTGTCATTAAAAGCTGTGTGTCTGGGATCACTCTGAAGGAGTCTGCATAATGCAAAGGTCTCTGGGTGATTTGTAAGGAAGAGAACAACAATCTTCTTCATAAGGAAACTTTGCTGAACAACATTTTAGGAGAAGCTATGCGTTTTTTTAAGAGCCAGCCTGACTGGTGCGCTGCAGTAAATGTGTATTCCTCTTAGCAATCCACAAAGCTGGGAGTGTGATTATATTTTTATATTTGACTGTTTTTGGCCCAAATGTTCCTAGGAGCGAAAACTACCATGAGATAACGACCAAAAACTCAAAAATAATAATAATAATAATAAAAAACATCATTACTTCCTGATGTTCCAGCTGAATACTTTGTAGAAAACAATAGAATAGCAAACATCTTTATTTTTCACCAGAGATAAAAAAAAAACTGTCGTTGACTCACAGAGATAAAGTACAGATTAACAACTATTTATAAAAGGGTTATGACCAAAAAAGGAAAAATGTAAGGTTACAAAAGTGAGACAAAGTAGCATAAGACAGATAAATGAAGTGAGTCATGTAGTGGTTCACAGCCATTCATCCGGATGACACAATTAACTTCCATGGGATTTTAGCAGATATTGTAATAAACTGTATTTGTCTGATGGTGGTTTTCACAGGACATGTTGTGTTGCAGGTGTCTTACAGGCTCTTTGAGGACACTGGCTTGTTTGAGACCTTTAAGATCCCCGTTAAAGAGTTCATGAACTACTTCCACGCTCTGGAGAGCGGCTACAGAGACATACCATGTAAGTTTAAATGCCTCTCATCCGGTCGCGGTTTCACTCGCACCGTTTTCCTGTCAGCCTTTGTTGCAGCTGTAAGAAACAAATCAGCCACTAGATGCAAATGCACTTCTTCCAGTTTTTGCTCATTCTAACGGTGTACAGTACAATGCCAGGATTTGCCTTTACGTTGCTGTGAGAAACCTGAACGGCTCAACAGTGCGCCCTGGTGGAAAAGCGATTTAATTTGGAAAAAGTGTGCTTTGTCCTCTGGATCAGATCACAACAGGATCCACGCCACAGATGTGCTTCATGCGGTCTGGTACCTCACCACGCAGCCTGTGCCCGGTCTACCCAGCCTCATTAACGACCACAGCTCAGCCAGTGACTCAGGTACGCACCATTTATCTTATCAGTACCTATAAGTGCAAAAAAAAAAAAAAGATGAGCTTTCTTTTTTTTTTTTTTTTTTTTTAATTTTTTTTTAAATTTTGTGTTGGGTAAAA